AAAACCAGCCCTGGGGCCGCCAAGCGATCCCGGCTCTGCGCGACATTGCGTGCCCGCGCACGCTGGCCGGCGGCGGCGCGCTTTACGGCAGCAGCGTGAGGGCGTGAAGCTCGTCGGTGGCCTAAGTTCACACGTGGTGCCGGCGGAGGCAGGTTGTAGTTACTATCGCTGCTGCCGCTGCTCTTCCCACTTGCAGTATGAAGCGGCCCAGTGAGTGTTGTCTGGGAGCGGACTTGGGACGTGGAGGGAAGGGTTGCTTCTGATGGTCGATGAACCCATCCAGGTGTTATTATGAGGCTTGGTCTCTGCAGGAATGGGAGCTTGCGGGTAGGCCGTCAGCCATCGGTCTGGTCCCGCGTAGAACCTAGAGTTGGAAGGCCTCGTGTTAACCGCGGGCCCATAATACAGAAGGACGGCTGGGCCCCAAAGGTCGGATCAGGCCAGAATCTCGTGAAGAAACAGGGTCTGAGCCAGGTTTAGAGCCCCTTTTTCCCTTATGCGGCTATTTTCGGTCTGGCCCCAGTGAGGTATGAGAGTAGCCTCTCAAACCCACCTTTGCTCCTACCTTGTGATTCTTGGTTGATGAGAAGCGCCTGTCTCCTGCACTCCCGAGTAAGATCCCAGTCTGATATGGGAAGAGTGGGAGGGGGGTAGTTGGGGTCCACTCTCGATCTATTGAGTCAAATCCTCTGGGATTTGAGAGTGGCATGTGTATTTTTATTATGTGCCTCACGTGATTCTTAAATTACTCTTGAGAGCAGATTAATTACTTAACACAAAAAGGGAACCTGACCCCTGAGCGCAGTCACCAAGAACTAAACAAACTGATCATTTGTGTGTAATCTTCTTTTGATGTTTCTTTGTAGAGTTAAAGAAAGCAAGTAAACGCATGACTTGCCATAAGCGGTATAAAATCCAAAAAAAGGTAAGGCTTGTGCTTGGGAGAACTGTACAGATACAATGCTAAATTGATTTCTGCCCCACCTCTCCTCCAGGAGGAGGATTAGATTACTATGATGCATCTCAGAAAATGGAAGTTGGAAATATACTGACCATGGCACAAGCTTTTTTTTTTTTAAGAGAGGGAGAGAGAAACATTGATTTGTTGTTCCACTTATTTTTGTATTCATGTGCCCTCACCAGGGATGGAACCCGAAACCTTGGTATATCCAGATGATACTCTAACTGAGCTACCCAGCCAAGGCAGCACAATCTCTTAGGCATCAAGAGTGCAGCTGTGGCCCGGCCGGACATGGCTCAGTGGTTGAGCATGGCTCAGCGGTTGAGCATTCATCTAGGACCCAGGAGATCGAGGTTCTATTCCCGGTCAGTGCACATGCCCAGGGCTCGATCCCCAATCAGGGACGTACAGGAGGCAGCTGATCAGTGATGACGCCCTCATCATTGATGTTTATCTCTCTCCCTCTCCCCTTTTCTCTGAAATCAATAAAAAATAGATATTTTTAAAAAAGCACAGTTGTGGGAAAGTGTAGTAATTGAGTGATAAGTATAAACAAACATTGATGTGAGCATCAATCAGCTGCCTCCTGCACTCCCCCCTACTGGGCATCAAGCCCAGGCATGTGCCCTGAGCAGGAATTGAATGGGTGACCTTTTGGTGCATGGGATAACACTCAGCCACATTGGCCAGGGCCCAGTGACATCTTCTTGCTGTTTTATAGGCATAATCTGTATGGTTACAATTGAAGTTCTGTTTTTCTAGGTCATTTTACAGATGTAATATTTCTGATTAGTATTTTTGTAAACTGATTTTAAAAATTGTTTTTTATCATGTTAGGTTCGAGAGCACTATCGAAAATTGAGGAAGGAGGCTAAGAAACGGGGTCATAAGAAACCTAGGAAAGACCCAGGAGTTCCAAACAGTGCTCCTTTTAAGGAGGCTCTTCTTCGGGAAGCTGAACTAAGGAAACAGCGGGTAGGATAACGTTAGCTGAAATTTTCAACAAGTGATGTGTAATTTTTTTTTTAAGTAAAGTAACACCACCATGTCACTTTGGCTCACCCATTTCTTTTATGGCTTGGACACAGCTTGAAGAACTAAAAGAACAGCAGAAACTTGACAGGCAGAAGGAACAGGAAAAGAAAAGAAAACTTGAAGCTAAGCCTGGTGTTGAGCCATCTAACGTGGAACCTGTGAAGGAGGTACGATTAAGTCTCTGAATGAGAGAGGAGTTCTAATGTAGAAAAAAAAGCACATAAACAGGACCGGAGTTGCTGTGCGTCTTGGGAAGAAAAGGATTGAGATCAGATGCTGTCGTACCTACTTAATATCGACTGCAGTTCCCCTAGTCAGCCATGGAAGACGGAGACAAGTTCCAGCTGCTGAATTTCTGGTTTTGTGTCCTTTCCCCTTTGTCTCTATCCTTTAGGAACCTGGGCAGTGCAAAGCTGAGAACAAAGGCAAGCTGGCCAGACAGAATCCAAAGAAGTTGTATTGTCAGGAACTTAAAAAGGTAACTTAATCTAAGTCTTTCTGAAAGTGGCACTGAGGTTTAAAAGATTAGAATCATTCCTTTTTCCTGACACCAGCCTTGTAAAAATGAAGTAAAGTTCACTTGCACTGGAAGGAGGTATTCACAAGAGCTGAACCAAGTTGCTTTATCCTATTTAGGGCCTTTCTGTTATGTTTAGCTGAAGAAAATATTCTTGTGGTTTAAAATTTTTGCACAGAAACAGTTCTCCATAAGCATGATTTACAAAAGTGATACTTCACGTTAAAGTAACATGTTGACACAGTGGTTTTTAAAAGTGCAAAATACATTAAAATTAGTACTTTGTAGGAGATCAAAAGGGTGTCTTGGTGCAAGCACTCCCACCCCCAACTCCTGTTTTCCCAAGCTCGCTCCCCCCTGTGAATAGAGCTTAATCATGCTTCTCAGCAGCTCTTGTCAGGGGCACAAAAACTTATCTAACGACCTAATTCACTATGGGGGATGCTATATTCAGACAGTGGGGATGTTTCCACTTTTGGAATCTATGTTAACGAGAGGCCAGAGGCTGCTGAGCACACCTTTGTTACCTTTCCTGTGAGAAATGATGAACGTGAACATTCTTCATACCAAAGTGAATAAGTGAGATCCAACTCTGATCTCACCCTGTTGCAAAGTGGATAATGCCAATATACTTGTGTCGGGGTGTCCCCAGATAGTTCCCTCATAATTTCTACCTTGACAGGTGATTGAAGCCTCAGATGTTGTGCTGGAAGTGTTGGATGCCAGAGATCCTCTTGGTTGCAGGTGTCCCCAGGTGGAAGAGGCCATTGTCCAGGGTGGACAAAAAAAGCTGGTACTTGTATTAAATAAATCAGGTGAGCCAAAGGGATGCCCTTTGTGTTTAATGTGTACTGGTGAGGAATGAGGAAAACATCTGAACAGTCTGATTATCTCTGAAGACTGGTAAGATCCAACTCTGACCTCAACAAAGCCAGTGCATTTGCTCTTGTTGCCAAAGACAGTGCTGGGCAGAGGGGTGGAGGTGTTTTCTACAAGTGATTGGACTGGTTTCTGCTGTTTTTTGTTATTCAGTACTTAGCACCTTGTCTTATTTAAGAGTATAAGCTTCTGTACTCAGTGTGCAGTATATTTAAATATGTCTGGGTTTGAGCAGCAGGAACAGGAGACCCCAGAATAGAGAGAGACCTGTGAAGCAGAGAATAATAATGGGATCTACAATTACTGTGTGGTCAGTAAACATGGCTGCTACCTTAAGTAAGTTCTGGAAATAAAGCCCAAGGGTTAGTAGGGTAACAGTCTAGAAGTTGACTTAATTCTGAAAGGGTGTGTAGTACATAGGAGAATTGAAAAAATACAGAGGTATATGTACTGAACTCTTAAGGGCAGTACAGTAGAGAGCTTATCTTTTCCTCATCTTCCATTTAAATCCTTCTGAAAAAAAACTGGGAAAAGGCAAATTGGGAAGATACCCATAGTTTATCAGATTTGCGAATTCATCTCAACAGAATGACCAGATTTGGAACATGTATCTTATTTCTAATCCCTATCAGATTTGGTACCAAAGGAGAATTTGGAGAACTGGCTAAATTATTTGAAGAAGGAGTTGCCAACAGTTGTGTTCAGAGCCTCAACAAATGTGAAGGACAAAAGGAAGATAACCAAGGTACCCTTTACCGCCATTGGTGGGAAGTGTGCTGCTTTCAGATTTTGGATGGCTGAAATATGATGAGTATACAAAATCTTGATTTAAATAATGAGAACATATAAGATCCAACTCTGATTTCACCCAGAGATAATCTGAAAAGCAGTAGAGTGGTTAATTTAAAAAAAATATTTTTATTGATTTCAGAGAGAGAGAAACATAAATGATGAGAGTCATTTATTGGCTATTTCCTACATGCCTCCTATTGGGGACAGAACCTGCAACACTGATGTGTGCTCTGACTGGGAATCGAACCCTGACCTCCTGGTTCACGGGTTGATGCTCAACCACTGAGCCACGCTGGCTGGGCTAGAGTGTGGTGACTTTAATAGCTGGTCTTTGGAGCCAGATTTTTGAGTTTGTTCTTTTGTTTGTTTTAAAAAAACAAACCATCTTTATTGATTTCAGAGAGAGGGGAAGGAGGGAGAGAGAGACAGAGACATGATGAGAGAGAGTCATTGATCAGCTGCCTCCTGCACGCCCCCAGCTGGGGATCAAGCTCACAACCTGGGCATGTGCCCTGACCTGGGATTGAACCACATATCTCCTGGATCCTAGGTCGTATCTCCTGGATCCTAGTCGATACTCAACTGCTGAGCCACACCTGGCCAGGCAGATTTTTGAGTTTTATAGGTTGGGTTGTTGGTAAACTAATTATTTGCAATTTTAATGTGAAGGTAAGGAGGCAAGCGCCATTCAAAAGGGAAATCTGCGTTGGGAAAGAAGGCCTTTGGAAACTTCTTAGAGGTTTTCAAGAGAATTATGGAAAAGCTATTCAGGTTGGAGTAATTGGTGAGTTTCAGTTCGCCACATTTTATGTCTTACTCTCTGTTAAGAGTGTATGGGGTTGTTGCTAAATAAAGGACTTGTTTAAACACTAATTTATTGCCCACCTACCAAACACACACACAGTGTAAACACAAATTTCACATAATTGTTGCCTAATTCATTTTTGCCAACTGGGCACTGTAGGAAGTTGGCTTCTTAAAGCTCTGGGTTTATTTGAATTAATCATCTTTTCTTGCCCTCTCATTACTTGTGCAAGAAATGAGGATGCTAAGATTAGTCTTAGTGTTAAAGTGAAGATACTCAGATCCAACTCTGATCTTGCTCTAAACATCAGGCAAGCATAAAGTAAAACTATGGGAATGTTATAATTACCAACACATAATGCCTTTTAATCTGTGAATTTACCATTTATAGGTTTCCCAAATGTGGGGAAAAGCAGCATCATCAATAGCTTAAAACAAGAACAGATATGTAATGTTGGTGTATCCATGGGGCTTACAAGGTAAACTGAGTTGTTCCATAATTGTAATATTTCATTATAGATGAGTAAATGTGATTTTCTTTTGGATATCTTAAGGAAGACAATTTCCTGTTCTTTCTTTATAGGTGTTAGTGAAAGGAAGAGGTTAAGCCAGTGCTAGGCATGAGGAAGATTGGAATGGAATAGTTGCCTGTGATCTAGTTTGAAAGACAAATAAGCAAATGGATTCAGCAGGAGGGGAAAGCTCCCGTAGACGAAGTGATGCTTTAACCTGGCCTTGAGATGTCTGCCAGATAGAGGGGGGGGGCATATTTATGGCAGAGGAGGCAGCATGTGTTCAGGTTAATGTGTAAGCTACAACGTAGTGTTTCTTTTTAGAAGGGGAAGGAGCACTATATGGTTTTAGATAAACATGAAGCAAATGATGATAAACTGGATCTGACAGACTATGCTGAGTTTGTTCAATCCAACCCTGAGCTTCGTGTTCTGTCTGTCGTCCTCTGGGTAAACTAGTACCCTCATCAGTTACCATCTTTTGTTCTAGGAGCATGCAGGTTGTCCCCCTGGGCAAACAAATCACAATCATAGATAGTCCAAGTTTCATTGTGTCTCCACTTAATTCCCCGACTGCACTTGCTCTGAGAAGTCCAACAAGTATTGAGGTACTAAAACCAGTGGAGGCTGCCAGCGCCATCCTGTCCCAGGCTGACACTCGACAGGTAGAAGAACCCCTTCACTTGAGCTCTATTCTCTCTTTCATCTTGAGCATTTTAAGTAGAAAATTCTAAGTTTTTTTTTAATAACCATGCCGTGTCAGACAAATGACAGTTTATTTTTCTTTTAAGGTAGTACTGAAGTTCACTGTCACAGACTTTAAGGACTCTTTGGAATTTTTTACTTTCCTTGCTCAGAGAAGAGGACTACACCAAAAAGGTGGAAGCCCCAATGTAGAAGGTGCTGCCAAACTGCTGTGGTCTGAGTGGACAGGGTAAGGCTTCTTTCTTGGCATTGGATGACCACATAGAATAAGGGAACTGATTTTTGACAAATCTTGTTTTTAATACCAGTGGCTCTTTAGGCTACTATTGCCATCCCCCTACATCTTGGACTCTCTCTCCACATTTTAATGAAAACATTGTGACAGACATGAAATGGGGCTTTAATTTGGAAGAACTGGAAAAGAACAATGCACACAGCATACAGGGTAGGTAAGCTAGGCTTGTGTTTGCTGTCTTCGTCAGCGGACAGACCAATAAAGGTCTCATCTGTTTACATGTGCTGTTTTCCTTTCCTAGCAATCAGGGGCCCTCGTTTAGCCAGTAGCATCCTTTTCAAGTCCTCGGGTCTGACAAATGGAATAACAGAGGAAAAGGACATATCTGAAGAATTGCCAAAACAGAAAGAGAGGAAGCAGGAAAAGGAGGAGGACTATGAAGACATCAGCAATGACCAGGAAAGTGTTGAAGAAGAAGCTGGTGTAAGTATGTTGTCCATGAGCTGTTTAAGCTGAATTATGTTTTCCAATATTATAATGTACAACAAATGAGAAGGGGCTAAAGGTAGAAATTAAATATTTCATAGAAGACTACAAAAAAGCCCCATACAATGTAGGTATTTAAGTCTTGCACTCATTAGTCTTTGTTTCGTTCATTCCATTATGTGTATATTTAGGGACTTTCCCAGGTATATAATGGATTAATGAAGGGCACAGGGGCTACTAATATAGCACTGTTTCTCTTTTTCCCATAGGAAGAGAGCTCAGACATATCCCCTGCAAAAGAGACCTGGGAGGAGGCACTGCCTGAGGAGTCTCAAGCAGGTGAGCTGGGTGGAGGGGTCTTCTAACAAATCAGTTAGAATTGCTTTTACTTAAAATAATCACCTCACTTTTCTTTCCTCCAATATAGATAAACAGTCTGCACAATCTTACATCTTTGGTAGGATGCCCGAAGAGGAAGGTGATGCTTACGACTTCAGTACAGACTATGTGTGACACAACTTTGTCCTAGTGGTTTTCTGTGTTTGTTTGTTTTTACATTTCGAACGGACTACTAAGCTGTTCTGTGTGTGTGATGTATACCAGTTTGTTTCTGTTACGACATAAGCTATGTAAATTTTATAAGTATGTATTATATTCATTTTAAAAGTCAGGCAATGTAGAGTGTCTGAATTCCATAAAAAAGATTTCTTCTTTTATACACTGAGTGGGTAGAACTCTATTTACCTGGATGCAAAAAATCACATACCTACTGAAAAATGTAGGTTTCACTTTATTTATAGATCAGGCCACAGGTTACAAATTTAAAACCAAGCAGCAGTGTTGAACTAGCTCCACCAGCCATATCAGTCCATTCACCTCTGGTCATTCAGCACTGTAGTAAGCAAACACTTGGTAAGGCAGATGGAGACACACAATCAGGGAAACTGACTGCCAGTGCCATTTGTCCTCTACCCAGTTGAAATGTCCCTTTTTCCATGGGTTGCCACAACTGTTACTTCCCACACATTATCTTCCAGGATTTCCTGAGAAATGCTTATAGCATAAATTATATTTTACTTTATATTTGAGATCTCCGTATGTCTTCTGATTAGGCTGAATTTGCCTGTTGGGTCAGGAATATACCATTTTTCCCAGACATCAATATATGAAGCCATTCTTCCCCATGGCTTAAAGTGCCCATTCCAGTGGAGTAATTTGGCAGCTTTTACAAACTGGGGTGAATATCGTTTTCCAGCACTGGAGCCTTATATTGAGAGAAAAAGAACCAAGTGATTATACTAGTCAGACACAAGACAATGCCACATCAAACTGGAGAAAAAGGAAATGATATATCACATCCCCAAGGATAGTCCTTTAGATACTTAGTTCTTTCTTAGCTTAGGCCTTTTGTTAATTATTTATACTTACCAAGGTGGCGGACATTCCACATTGGGTCAATGGTGGAGTGCTGTTGATAAAATACGATCAACAGAGGAGGTGTTGTGATGCTGCCAGCCAGTGTTCTGCTATACAGTCCCTCTCTTGGGACAGATAACAAATGTAAGCTGTTAGTGAAGAACTGTGAATAGTTCCTGCTGAAATACAGCTAGGGCAGTTTTATACTTACTCTACATTGAGTTTCATCCATTTTTCCAGCTGGTTAGTTATATTCTGTCTTTTCCATTCTGTCAAGTTTGCAACAAAAACTCCAGGATTAAATGAGCAGGTGCTGGCTTTCATAGAAAGTTTGCGGATTCTTTCCTTTTTATAGTCAAGATATCCAATGTAATTGTACTAAAAACACAAATGGGATATATAGTATGTTTACTGTATAGATATATACAGCCATGCACCACTTAATGACAGATATGTTCTGAGAAACACTGTTGGGCAATTTCATTGTGTGAACGTTATAGCGTGTACTTGACAAAAACCTAGATGAGATGGCCTACTACACACCTAGACTGTGTATATAGCCCAATGCTCCCAGGCTTAAGCCTGTACAGCATGTTACTATACAAAACCACCTGACAGTAAATCAAGCACAAAGAGAAAATTATGCAGTCAAGAGACACAGTAGCCCCGGCAGGTGCTTTGCCTATTCGATTTCCCTGGTCGGGCACATGCCCAGGGTTGCTGGCTTGATCCCTGGTAGGGGGCATGCAGGATGCAGCTGGTCAATGTTCTACTCACGTCAATGTTTCCCCTCCCTCCCTGTCTCTCAAAATCAATAGGAATATTAAAAAAAGACACAGTAAACATGAAATGTATGAGGCTGCTGAGGGTGTAAAGGCATACTCTTTCATTAATTTTTAGAAAGAAATGTGAGAGCATAGGTTGGCTGCCTCCTGCACACCCCCTACCAGGGATGGAGCCTGCAACCTAGGCATGTGCCCTGACCAGGGAATCAAACTGGCAACCATTCAGTGCACTGAACAACACCCAACCAACAGCCCACCAGCCCAAGCAGCAAACATTTTTATTAGAACGAGTATGATAAATAGTATAGTAAATACATAAGCCAATAATATAGTTGCTTATTATCAAGTATTATGTACTGTTCATAATTGTATATGTTATACTTTTATGTGCACGGTAGGTTTGTTTACGCCAGCATCACCGTGAACACGTAATACATTGTGCTTCAACATTAAGACAACTACAAGCTCACTAGGCAATAGGAAGTTTTCAGCTCCATTATAATCTTATGAGACCACTGTTGGATATGTTGTGAAACAGTTATGCAGCTGTGATTTGACAGTAAAGAGAAGAGCTGCTTATTAAAACCTATGACTTAGATTATTAACAGAGGGCTCTACATGTAAAGCAAATAAAAGTGACATTTGGGATTCCAAGTTAGGCAGAATAGGAAACAAAAAATATTAAGTCAGATGGTCAAAGAGAATTAGGTTGTCAAGGCCATGAACCAATGCAGGAAAACAGGCTTGTTTTGCGATGAAATAATTGGGGAATGTAAAATGCAGCAACAAAAAGAAGAGCTCCCCGATTTTGCTGCTTCTCGGGGAGTGTCTACAAGGGCTCTTAAGTAGTTTACCTGGTTCCCTGCTCCACGGATGACAACTTTAGTAGAGGCTGAATCACAATCTTCTGAAAATGCAGCTGCATGTCCTGGCTTCAATGGTGTATTATAGAGGGCAAGAATATCACCTAAAATAGATAAGGTATAAGATTTATATTACAAATTGCCTCAAGATTTCCTATTCCTCCCGCTTCTTCCTAAGATGACCTTTAACAGGATACCATAAATAAGAACCACTACAGCCCACACTCTGGAGAGAACAGCACTGATGAGTGACATTCTTTGGTACCTTGCACAATTACATCATCATCCATATATATGGCCTTCTTTGCACTGGGAACCAAAATAGGCAAGTAGAACCTTGCAAAGGTTAACTGGGGAAGAAAAAAGAGAGGCATTAGCATAGGATTCACCAGTGGCTGTGCATACATTTTATTTACTAGAAACTCACAGAACGCTCTCAGTACCCATGCAGGAGACAGTCAGAGGTCACTTAGAATTGCCCAGGCTTGGTCCCAGGAAACTACTTGCATTGTACCCACAGTTACCCACATATTCAGTCATTTCCTAATACTCCCATATACAAGGATGCATGGAACTCACTGGTTTTATAGATTCCCCCTGGTCAGGATCCTCCTTTACTTTCCCTTCCAAAAGTTTAGTGTCAAAATTCACAATTTTGTACCTGATGCTTTTCAGAGTACTGCTGCTGAGCCAAGACCTAATGAAAATAAAGTGCCAAAATTTCAGTTTTAAATAATCATGCCCCAAAACCACAGCCTTATCTTTTTGTGTCTTCCAAAGAGAAACCCTAGGAACCAAATAGGAGCTTTCAAGCCTCTCCACTTCTCTGAGCCTTGGTTTCCACATCTCAAGAGAGTATTCCCACCAAAGTCCCTCTCTGAGCCAAGATTTTATGGTAACAGGTACTGCTACCACCAGGTTCACACTGTTGATTACTTTTCTGAAATTACACTATTGTAGAAAAACTGTGTAACTGAGAACATCCCATCACCATATGGACTAAATACATGGTGAAGAAAATGTGTCAAAGTAGGATGGTAGTGAAAGCTAATTATCAACAGAGCTGAAAATCAGTTAATCTACATACATTAATTCACTGTGATGACTAAAAAATTCTTTCACCTGAGTAACATACTGCCGGTAAGAAAAGTTAAGTGTTCCCTAAAGAAGTTTTGCACGTTTTTCCTAGGTCCATTTCGATTCAGCATTTTGTGGATACTTATCTGTGTAGTCTATTTGTTTCTACATTATTTTAGATGGTTTCTGAGTTTTTAAAATATGGAAAAATAATAATTTACATGAAACATGGAGAAAGCCACAAGGACAAATGTTTTAGAACTTTGACAACTATTAATCTGTCAGACAAGATGTTTTTTGGAGTGAATTTTGTAAACCTTAACTCAAAGCATTTTCAAAGCATGGATGAGGCTGTCCCTCAGATTGGGTTTCTTTTATTAATCACTATAATAGTAAAAACCATTTACTGAGTGATTATGTACTAGGTGTATTTTTATATATTTTCTCATTTTCTTGATACAATAATCCTTTAAGTTGGATATTTTCATCCCATATTTATAGATGAGGGTTCCGAAGGATAGTAATGTTCCCCAGTCACTATGGGCCAGAATTTGTATCAGTATCTGTGCTCACTTCATCACACTACCTTGCCATTGCTCTCACATCCCTTCCCACTCTAGACCATATATACTCAGAGTATGTTCATGAGATAAGGAACTTATAACAGGATGTAAATCAACATATTGCTTCCTTCTCTGAGAAAATTTATTACTAAAAAAATACCAGCTTGAATTAACAGTGTACATAGTGACACAACTGATTTACATCTTAGCATAAGTTCCTTAAATTGTTTCTGCTATCTTGGGAACATGCTTATGGTACAATCACATGGAAAAACATGTCGTGCAGTTTATATGCGGTATAATCTCAGTTGTATAGAGGAAATATATACTTATAGAGCATCCTCTAGAAGAATCATCAGCCAGCCAGAGCTCACCGGACATGGTCTGCTGTATGATTGAGCGTAACAACGTAGAAAATGACATTGGAGCGAGTGTTGTGCTGAATGCTGTTTATTGCTGCAATGGTCCCCCCGAGCCTATCTTCAGATGCAGCAATGATCACAGGAATCTCCTCTTGTCTCCCATCTACTGCATGATGGGGAGCATTTGGGATAAAGTCTATGGGCTGAAGCCCCACAATTCCTGAATCTGCAAAGAACACACAAGAAAGGTACTCTGAGACAAACAATCTCATGAGGTATTGACACAGAGCACAAGACATGAAAAGAGGTGAGGATTGTCGTGCTTATTTACCTCATTCTTCCCCATTACACTGTGAAGTAGACAGCCCAGAAATTGTGTTTTCCTGTATGTAACCAGGCTTTTGGAAAAGCAGAAGCAGCATTAAAAAAAACTCCAAAAACCCCAGCCTGGTTGGTGTGGCTCAGTGGTTGATCATCATCCCATGAACCAAGAGGTCACTGGTTCGATTCCCGGAGGTCAGGGCACACACCTGGGTTGCAGGCTCAATCCTAGTAGGGGTGTACAGGAGGCAGCCAATCGATGATGTTTCTTTCTCATCCATGTTTCTATCTCTCTATCCCTCTCCGTCCCTCTCTCTAAAATCAATACAAACATTAAAAAAAAAACCACAAAAAAAAACCCCAGGTCGACAAAATTCTGATACACGACTGACAGGAATATAACAGAATCTTTCTAGCAATTTTTGGCAATTTGTATCAAGAGCATTAAACAAGTACATGGCCTTTGACCCAATAATTCCTCTTGCCTTTCAAGGACAAAATCTGAGATACCTAACTAAAAGCCACGATTTTCAGTTGTTAAAACCTAGAAACACAAGTTTTTCAGACCATGAATCATGTACCATAAGTAGGCATGAAATCAATTTAGTGGGTCACAATCAGAATTTGAGTACAAAAACATTTCCTAATTGGAATAGAGCACTGAATTTGAAAATATCAAAGTGCATCCTACACAGCAACTGCACGTATTGTTTTGTAAACCTTTTTGCCTTTTATAATATATCCATTCATCTACTCAAATCATTCATTGAACACTGAGTGCCTACTATGTGCCAGGCAATATCTAGGTACTGGGGTTACAGCCATGAATAAAACAGACAGATGTCTACCATCATGAAAGGCAGACAATCAGCACACACACGTACATGTGTGTGCTGTATGTAATGCATTTCTTATAGGGATGCCATCAAAAAGTTGCAAAGTCATTGTACCAAAAGATTTTCCTGAGGAAACAAACTGTGGCATTAAAGTTACATATGAAGAGTTTCTACTGTCATGGTGACATACTTAGGATATAATCATGTGGAAAAACATGTCATGTGTGAAGTTTATATATAGTATAATTTCAACTGTATAGAAAAATTATAGAGGAGGGAAAAACTGGGAGGTATTAATCCAAAAATTTAATAATAATTATCTCTAGGCAATGATCATTTATTCAATGACTATTTTTTTGAGCACCTCCTACATACCAGCCATCACCCAGAGACACGGGAGATAAAGCAGTACACAAAATGCTCTCATGGAGCTTGAGTGCTACTTTCTTTTTTATAAAAGTTCCCACCAGGAGTAGGTATTACTTTACGTACATATAGGGTAGGTAAAAGTAGGTTTACAGTTCATATGAAAAATAATACAATAATAAATGAGAATAAACTGTTTCATGTACTCACAACTGTAACCCTACTTTTGCCCACCCCATATATATGTATACATACAAATACACACATATGCATATACATGCTGTCAGAGCACTCAGGAAAGCTATTAGTTTTTTCTTGCTCTGATCAACTATGGTGTGTGGCAATCCAAAAATGATTTTTAAGAAACATTCTGAAGCCTCAAATATCCTTCAATACCAAGGCAGAGCAATATGAACAAATAATTTTAAATATCTAGCAATGGCATTATATAATAAATTGACTTTTAAAATCAATTGACAGGACTTTATGGTTTTGTTTTACCACTAGAGTCCTGCTGATATAGTTCCACAGGTTACAGGAAAGTAACAGGTGAAGGAAAGTAACCAGACTGACACTCTAGTGTGCAGAGCAGGCATCAACCACCAATGAAAACTGTCCCCACATTCTGAAGCCCTGCTCTGCTGAAATGTGCGCAAAGGGCAGCAGCCCACAAAGGCTCCTCTCTGGCCTCTGATTTGGTGAATGATTTTCTGTCAGATCAAACTCTTAGGAAACAACTGCACAGAAGGAAGAAGAGGAGGGAAGGGAAGGCTGCAAAGAGTGCAGTGAGTACCACCATGCCTTATCCCAGAGCCTTTAGGAGCTTCTGTAAGGCCAAGAAGAAAGGTTTTTTTGTATGTTTTTTACCCCTTTAACCTACTGATATAACTTAGGATGTGGGACACAGGGAACTCCAGGTCCTCAACAGATGCCAAGGGTTCCCATACCTGAAACCTCATTCCTTAGCAAACTGCTCAGGCCGAGGAAGTTATGGTGCAAAACCAGTAAGAAGAAAACAACAGCCAGGACCAGGATGACGATGTTTACTGAAACACAGAGGGGAAAGCCTGCATTACATCTCTTTACCTTTTGACCAGGAATAAAAACATAAATTGTAGAAAGAGCTTACCTTTACGGAATGACATCTTTCTCTTCTGTCTTACATAAATATTAGTTATTAATCCTACAAAACAAAAAGAAGCCCCCAAAGTCAGCAGGTACATAAGAATGGCTATCAAAATGCCTAAATACTTTTATTGAGGTAGAAATAAGAAGTGTATACATTCTGCTAGAAATTCATTTTGAATGAACAGTTTCCAAGAACTCAATTTGGGATCTGAATTTCTTATGCTAGTCATAATAAAATACTTCCAAATAACTTTGAAAAATAAGATAACCATGTACATTATATGCCTTTAGATGAAAAGCAAAAGAAATTCTACCAAGGGGACTACCTGGGGTCTAACCACTACGGAAAGTATAGTATGAATTTCTACTTAAAATTCCTTGTTAAATTAGACAGGGATTCAGTTGTCTATAATAAAGTAACCCAAGCTTCATTGGTACAAAACATCCTTGTTTTGAATTGTATCTCATTTACCTTTAACTGGAATTAAAGAAAAGGGGGGGGGGAGAACATTTTTCACATGCATTTAAAACTATTGCAAGAAAAAATACTATAGCAGAGAACCATAACAAAAATTCACAAAATTCAATTTTGCTATCAAAAGTTTACAGTGCAAAAAAACAAACCCAAAACAACAAAAGTTTATAGAGTATAGCTATTCTTAAAAAATTAAAATCTGCCAAAAGAAAATATTAGCTTCTTCCCTGTGGCTTATGCTCTCCAGCTCGTCTCATGCCTTCACTTTTTCAAAACAAATAATCAATGGAAACAAAACTGTAGGTGGTACTAAATTATTTTTTCTCATATATTATTTATATCTATATCATCTCTTTTTTATACAAAGATATGCAGTAACATTTTGAGAGGTAAGCACTTAGGTGATTATTATTTTTCAAAACAATTGTAGTTCTTGAATTTTTATAAAGGTGAACAAGTATAATTTACACCAAAATAAGCTCTTCAAAAAATGCAACATAAAATGGTCATGTAAAAGGTACAATTCAAAGTCCAAATTATAATGATAAAATCAGCATTAATGGTATCTATGTTATTTTAATTATTATTAATCATGGATAATGTGAAAATGATATGGAAAACAGCATATCCTAAGCTATGCTTGAAGCAGAAATTTACTGATTTTACCATAATATGTTATCAATTATTTGTTGATATCTTACATTCGATTCATTTGGAAGACAGCTAAGAATTAGAAACTTGGAAAAAGAAACTTCAGCTTATCCAAGTAGTTTTCAGAAGTCCATGCATTAACGTCAAAGATTTTTGCTACTCATGATCATTCTGTATTTTTTTAAAAGTCTTTATTGTTGAAAGTATTACAGATGTCCCCTTTTTCCTCCCCATTGATCCCCTCCATCCCACATCCACACCACCCCCAAGCCTTCCACATACCAATGTCTGTTTCCACAGGTTATGCAAACATATTGCTATGAGAGATGTCTGAGGTTTTGCTGCCTACGTTTTCTTATAGGATTTTTATGGTTTCATCTCTTACATTTAAGTCTTTTATCCATTTTGAGTTTATTTTTGTGTATGGTGCAAGTTGGTGGTCTAGTTTCATTTTTTTGCATGTACCTGTCCAATTTTCCCAACACCATTTATAGACGAGACTGTCTTTACTCCATGATGTGTTCTCGCCTCCTTGCTCAAATATTAATTGACCATAATGACGTGGGTCGATTTCTGGGTTCTCTGTCCTGTTTGACCGATCTATATGTCTGTTCTTGTGCCAGTACCAGGCAGTTTTGATTACAGCTTTGTTGTATAACTTGATATCTGGTATTGTGATCCCTCCAACTTTGTTCTTATTTCTCAGGATTGCCGTGGTTATTTGGGGTCTTTTTTGGTTCCATATAAATTTTCAAAGAGTTTGTTCTAGATCTCTGAAATATGCTGTTGGTATTTTAATAGGGATTGCATTGAATTTGTAGATTGCTTTGGGTAGTATGGACATTTTAATGTTAATTCTTCCAATCGGTGAACACGGTATATTCTTCCACTTGTTTATATTTTCTTCTCCCTCTTATTGCAGTGTCCTATAGTTTTCCAAGTATAGGTCTTTTACCTCTTAGTTAAATTTATTCCTATGTATCTAAACTTTTTTGTTGCAAGGTAAGTGGGATTGGTTTTTTAGTTTCTCTTTCTGAGAGTACATTATTGGTGTATAAAAATGCCATCAATTTCTGGGTGTTAATTTTTAATCCTGCTACCTTGCCAAATTTATTAGTTAAACCTAGTAGTTTTTTTGGTGGAGTCTTTAGGGTTCTCTATGTACAATATCATGTTATCTCCAAATAATGAGTTTTACTTCGTCCTTTCCAATTTGGATGCCTTTTGTTTTCTTCTTGTCTGATTGCTGTGGCTAGGACTTCCAGGACTATGTTGAATAAGAGTGGTGAAAGTAGACACCCGTCTCATTCCTGTTCTTAGGTGAAATGCTTTTAGTTTTTGCCCATTGAGTATGATGTTGGCCGTAGGTCTGTCATATATGGCCTTTATTATGTTGAGGTATGATCCCTCTATTCCCACTTTGCTGAGAGTTTTTATCAAAAATGGGTGTTGGATTTTATCAAATGCTTTTTCTGAATCTATTGATATGATCATGTGATTTTTGTTTTTCAATTTGTTTATGTGATGTATCACGTTTATTAATTTTCAAATATTGTACCAGCCTTGCATCCCTGGAATAAGTCCCACTCGGTCATGGTGTATGATCTCTTTAATATATTACTGGAAATGATTTGCTAATGTTTTGTTGAGGATTTTGGCATCTATGTTCACCAGGGATATTGGCCTGTAATTCTCTTTCTTTGTAGTGTCTTTTGGAATTAGGCTAATGCTAGCCTCATAAAAAGAGCTTGGAAGTGTTCCTTCCTCTTGGATTTTTTGGAATAGTTTGAGGAGGGTAGGTGTTAGTTCTTCTTTGAATATTTGGTAAAACTCCCCTGTGAAGCCATTGGGGCCAGGGCTTTTGTGTACTGGGAGCCCTTTGATTACTGCTTTGACTTCATCAGCAGTTATGGGCCTATTCAGGTTTTCTAACTCTTCCTGATTTGAGTTTTGGAAGGTTGTATTTTTCTAGGAATTTGTCCATTTCATTCAGGTTGTCCAGCTTTGTGACGGATAGTTGTTCATAGTATTTTCTTACAATCCTTTGTATTTTTGTTGGGTCAGTTGTTACTTCACCTCTTTCATTTCTGATTTTGTTCATTTGGGCCCTCGCTGTTTCTTGATGAGTCTGGCTAAAGGTTCACCAATCTTGTTTATCTTTTCAAAGAACCAGCTCTTGGTTTCATTGATCTTTTGTATTGTCTTTTTTAGTCTCTATGTCATTTATTTCTGCTCTGATCTTTATTATTTCCTTCCTTCTACTTACTTCAGGCTTTTCTTGTTCTAAGTTTTTGAGTTGTAGGGTTAGAGAGTCTATTAGAAGTTTTTCTTCTTTTCTAAGGCAGGCTTGTAGTGCTATGAACTTCCCTCTCAGGACTGCTTTCATTGTGTCCCATAGATTTGGAGTTGTTGTGTGTTCATTTTCATTTGTTTCCAGGAAGTTTTTGCTTTCTTTATTTCTTTGGTAACCCATTCATTGTTTAAAAACATGCTATTTCGCCTCCATGTGTTTGAATGTTTTTTAGTGTTTTTATTGTAGTTGATTTCTAATTTCATGCCATTGTGGTCCAAGATGCTTGATACAATTTCAATCTTCTTGAACTTGTAAAGCCTTGTTTTGTGTCCTAACATGTGGTCTATCTTTGAGAATGTCCCGTATGCACTTGAGAAGAATGTATATTCTGCAGCTTTGGGGTGGAATGTTCTGTGTCAATTAAATCCATCTGATCTAGTGTGTCATTTAGGGTCACTATTTCCTTGTTTATTTTTTGTCTGTAAGACCTATCCAGTGAAGTCAGTGGGGTGTTCAAGTCCCCTAGTAAGACTGTATTGCTGTCTGTCTCTCCCTTAAAGTCCTCTAAAATTTTTAAAATAAATTTAGGTGCTCCTATACTGGGTGCATATGTTTATCAGGGTTATATCCTCTTGTTGGATCTATCCCTTTAGTATTATGTAATGACCTTTCTTGTCTCACGTTATGGTCATTTTGAAATCTATTTTGTCCGATATGAGTACTGCTACCCCAGCTTTTTTTTTCATTTCCATTTGCATGGAGAATTTTTTCCCATCCTTTCACTCTCATCCTGTGTGAGTCTTTTGTTTTGAGATGGGTCTCTTGTAGACAGCATATATTTGAGTCATGTTTCCTTATCCATTCAGCAACCCTATATCTTCTTATTGGGGCATTTAATCCATTTACACTTAAGGTTACCATTGATAGATACTTACCTATTGCCATTTTAATTCATTATGCCTATGTTTCTCTCTCTATTTCTACTTCTAATTACAGTAGTTCCTTTAACATTTCCCGCAATGCTGGTTTGGTAATGATAAACTCCTTTAGCCTTGTCTGGGAAGTTATTTATTTCACCATCTATCTTGAATAATAGTCTTGCTGGATAGAGTAGTCTTGGTTTCAGATCCTTGTTTTGCATTACCTTGAATACTTCATGCCATTCCCTTCTGGCCTATAGAGTTTCTGATAAGTCAGCTGACAGTCTTATGGAAGCTCCTTTGTAGGTAACAGATTGCTTTTCTCTAGCTGCCTTTAAGATTTTTTGTCTTGCCTGGCCGGGCATGGCTCAGTGGTTGAGCTTGAGTCAACCTAGGATCCAGGCGATTGGGGTTCGATTCCCGGTCAGGGCACATGCCCGGGTTGCGGGCTCAATCAGTGACTCTCTCATCATTGATGTTTCTGTCTCTCTCTCCCTCTCCTTTCCTCTCTCTGCAATCAATAAAGATATATTTAAAAAAAAAAAAAAAAGATTTTTTGTCTTGAATTCTTGGCATTTTAACTATGATGTGTCTGGGCGTAGGCCGCTTTGGATTCTTCTTGCTTAACACTCTCTGTGCCTCCTTAACTTGTGTGACTTTTTCCTTCACCAGGTTAGGGAAGTTTTCTGCCATTATTTCTTCAAACAGGTTCTCTAACCCTTGCCAGAAGAGGTCGTACTTTTGACCAGAAAAGTACAACCTCTTCTGGCACTCTTATAATAGGAATATTGTTACGTTTCATATTGTCCCACAGTTCCCTTAGATTGTCCTCCTGATTTTTAATTGTTTTTTCTTTTTGGATCTGAGTGATTTTTTTCTACTGTCTTCTAATTCGCTGATCTGATCCTCATCTTCCTCTAATCTGTTGTTTATTCCTTCCAATGTATTCTTTATTTCTGCTATGTCATTCTTAATTTCCTTCACAGTTCCCATATCTTTTTTCATGCTGTTGAGCATCCTTACAATCAGTATTCTGAACTCTATATCTGATAGATTGCTTATCTCCATTTCATTTAGCTCTATTTTTGGAGATTTCTCTTGTTCTTTCATTTGGGGATTTTTTGTCTCCCCACTTTGGCTGCCTGTTTGGGTTTGTTTCTATGTATTAAGTAGATATGCTAGGACTCTCAGTCTTTTTGGAGGGTCTCTGGTGCAGGCCAATGTCAGACGCAATTTGTGACTGGCTTTGAGTACCCTGTTTGGAGCTATCAGCAACCCTCAGCTTGAGGTCTCCTCTGCTGGGGCTGGGGCTGGGGGCTGGGTGTGGTTGGATAGGACCAAG